ATTAGCCGCCTCAGCCCGCTCGCCTCACGTGGAGGCGCCTCGGTGGCCCCCCTCAGGGAGCAACGGCCAGCCTGCTTTGCCCTCGCCCCCTGCCCCTCCGGGGGGGGCAGTCTTTCGGGAAGGTGGGACGCGGGAGGAGGAAGAGGAGGAGGAGGCCAGGGGGGAGGTTGTGAGGAGGTTGAGGGGCGTCTGCCCCTTCCAGAGATGGTGAGGGGATTTTTTGTGTGAGGCCCCCAGAGGAGAAGTGGGGGGGGAGAGGAGGATGGGGAGGGGAGCCCCTCCCTCCCACTTTAGGAAATAAAAACTCTCCCCCCCCTCCTAGTCTGCTCCCCTTCCTCACGAGGTGAGTTTGGTGGGAGTCTCTAGTCAAATTTCAAAAGGGGAAAACATTTGGGTGAGAGGGAGATAGAAGGGGACCCCCCCACCTCCCCCCGTTCTTCAGCCGAGTTCAACAGGGAGGAGGTTGGGGGCTTTATCCTGAGTTGGAGGAGTCGTGAGAATTGTCGCTCTGCAATCTCTGGAGGGCCACAAGTTGCTCCTCATCCTCTGGGGCAGTCCTGCGTGTGGCTCCGAAGGCACGGATCCAGAACTTTTAGAAGCAGACTCCCAAGGGAATTGTGTGGAGGGTGGCAGGTCTTTTAATGGGTGGGGAGGGCTGCTACCTACCACTGACAGCCAGAAAAGTGTCTTTCCACGTGTGTTCGTTGTAGGGCGGTAAAAAGATCAGGAGCCCTTTAAAACACATCTCTTTGGGTTTCATTGGGAGAGGAGTTATTTGCTCCTTTACAACTTCAGGCTTGATATGGAGAATCCACTTAGAACCCACCTATGTGAAGTTTTACTCATGAAGAAGAGATATTAAACCTGACTTACTCCCAAGGAGATTTATTATTTATTATTTATTTATTAGATTTCTATTTATCTATTAGCTACTACCTCAATCATCTTAATGTATTTAGAACCCTCTCCCATGCCAACTGCTTTTTCAAGGTGTGAGGTCATAGTTATTTTGGGGGAGCGACTTTTTCCACTTTTAAAACCAGATATTCAAGATTATTTAATGTGGAGTGACAAATACCACTTGATGTCCTTCAATTGCCCAATTTCATGGTATGTTTAAAGTACTACTGAAACACATGGAGCCCCTCCCTTTCCACTTTAACTTGTCTGTACAAGTAATTGTTGTAACCAGCGTTATTGATGATGGTGCTTTTGGTGTTGAGTTTTTAATACATCCCCCAGGGAGAGGAGAAAAGTTTCTCTTCTTTTCTTATCTCAGTTTGAAACTTATAACCAAGTATGGGAAGAAGATGTTTTGACCAACAATTTTGAAGCCCTACCCAACATGGCCAGTAGCATGGGGTATAAAACATGTTTAAGGCCAAAAGTTTTTTTGTGTTTACTACATGGCTTTCTTCTACTACCGACAGAAGAAGGAAGTTTCTTCACCAAGTCAGTTTGCTAGACTGTGGTCATAGTGCATCATTTTGGAGGAGCTTCTATATTCAGGAGCAGTATGGTACAGATCTGTCATGTACCTCCAGCTGTCTGCTATGAAAAATGGGCTGCCAGATTTGGTTGTCTATTGATCAAAATTAGTAGGGCTAGTTCCTACATTCTTGGCTATTAGGGATCCCTGTAATATACTGAATACAGGTACAATCTGAACCTTTCAGTCCCACTAATACATTCACAGTGGGAAGCATGACATTAAGGGGAAAAAAGGAAGGCCTTTCTTTAAATCCCTTTTAAGACCTATGTAGATTACGATTGTGATCTGTTAGTTGTGACTGTAGTTTTGTGAGTACAGTGGCGGTTTTGGATTTTTGAATGTAGAGGACAGGATGGGGGGGCAAATTTGTGCAAGAGGGTAAAAGAGGTTGGCTGGCTGAATATTAAACTGAAAGATTCATTTTGATTTAAATGACTTATCAGTTTGTTTTGGATACTTGGTGGGGGGTTTCTGTATGTGGCCTAGATACAGCATCTAATGTGGTCAAAAAGGAGGAGCATGTAGTTTTTGTTAAAGAGTTACTTGGGTGTCACTCCCCCCCAACACACACATACAGAGGAATAAAAGTGAAAATACTTTTTGTAGATCTAGTGAAACAAGGACTGGGATTTCCCTAACTGTAGAAAATATGCCCTCCCTCTCTCCCCTTTTAATTGGCTGTGTCAGAAACATGCAAACAAAATGCCACATTCCAGTGTGGTTTGCTTTTCCAGTCATTATTCATATTCTTTTCCTATCTGAAGGGTGTGGAGGCAGACTTTTCAAAAGCCCAACGCCCTGCCCCCCAGGGGTTTACTGTTTATGTGAGTAATGAGTTCAGTGGTCTTTTTTTTGTGAAGTAATAATATTTATACTTAATGCCCTCTTTTTAATATTTGGAATCCTTTTTCTGAGGAGTGTATTTCTTTGTTTCTGAAATACTGCTGTCTTTTGAAGACAGAAATGCATGGCCAGGGGTGATCACAAAGTTATCAGAGAAAGATTTTCATATGAATAAAACCATTAGATTCCTTGTTTGTTTAAGAACAGCAAATCATAGTGGTGGTTGCAAAGGAGTTGCCTCTTATAAAGGAGAAGCAGCACAACTTTCAAAATACCCATACACGAGTGTTCATTTAAAATTGTATAGTGACAACAGGATGTCAAAGCCTTAGTGCAAGTTAATCATTTTTTATACTAATAGAAAGCCCCTTGTTCAGTGAGGAATGGCTAACAATGATTGTGAGCAGTGGTTAAGCAAACATTAACTGAGAGCTGTTTCCTTTTACAGCTACCATAGAAAAAGAATGTTTGCACTCTTTGCACAGTTTGACTAAAACAATTGATGCTCTGTCTCTTCCAGTATGGCCTTGGACTCCAGTGGGATGCCTACCCTTTAAATTCCTTGAATATACTTTAGAACCACAGATTTCCTCTAAAGTTTCTGAAAGCTTTTCTTCCTCGGTTGACTTACTGTATTACCTATGAATTGGGTATACAAGGTCTGACTGTTGGCTCTCTTATAAGGAGAATTTCAGGGGGGTCCTCAAGTTTTGTATGTCACTTTATACACAGTGTGCTCTTCCAGCTGGCATTCTTCTCCCAGTTGCCATTTCATGCCCTCTCTTCTCTCCCATTCCATCCCATGCTGGGCAACTCTGGTGATAGGTGTGTATGTGTATGCACAGCAATTTGTGTCTACATTGAAGGAGAAAGCAGCGTTGGAAATGTATCTCAACCCAGAGGGTGGAGCAACTGGTATATATTAGTTGCATGCAATTACCATAATTTGTAGGTCACTTTCACAAATGTGCCAGGTACCAAGCCACAACAGATGCATAGCTTGCACTCCTGTGATAATTGTGTTATTGAATTGTTAAGCCTGAAATTAAAGATAAAAACAATTCCCACTCAAGTTGGATCTCAGTGATCCATGGCACCCACCAGGCTTTAAACAATCAAACTGAGAGTTCTCCCCTTCATGAACCTGCAGTGAGAATGCCAGAACAGAATTGGCCAAACGTCGCTTTCAACATTGTGCTGTGCGATAGCTTCATCTCAGAATTCTCTGTGGCATTCTCAAATCTACTGGTGGCCTTTATTTTATCTTAATAAATGTTGATTTGGAAGGATAACAGGCTGCATGAAACCTAGTCCACCCTGCCCTGTGCTGCTTCTCCTCTGCCTCGCAGTGTAACTTATTTTTTTTTTGTGACCAGACACACTGCCTTGTCTTTTTGCCTACTTGAATATATTTGTTTATTTCTCTTTCTTTTAGAAGCACACTCAAACTTTCACATATTTTTAGTATCAATTTATAGCATTTGTAAGCTGGCTGGTCTTAAAAAGCAAAAGAAAACACAATTCTCTGTGTGGTTTACATGATGATTGTAGGAAGGCAGCCATCCCTGTAAATGGACTGTGGATAGTTAAATGCTTTGGGCATCAGTTTATTTCTTTTAATCTGTTGCTTTGACTTGGTTTACTTCCCTATTTTAAAGTAATGATTCTGAAATCTTAGGTGCTGAATTGTACATGTACCCAGCTGAGATTTGAAGAACTGGATCATCACTATTGGGTCCACAATCTGTGTACGGTCTGGAAGAGAATCCTTGAAGCCAGCCTGTCAAGACTAAAGCAGGTATGTTGCAAAGATCTGAGCTGCATGGTCTTGAGCAGTGGTCCCCACTTGTTGTAAGGATTCAGCTCCCAGAAGCCACAGTAAAAAATCAGAGGTCCAAGGATGGGAGCCACTGCTAGGAAAAAAACATGTCTGGGGGAGCAGGAAGTAGGAGGAAGAGTCAGTCCTTCACTTGTGTTGTGGTTTCAAGCTGTGCAGTTTTGGAGGACGAAGAAGAGGCAATTCTTCTGTTCAGAAGTCTGAGCTCTTTCGCTGGGCTCTGGTAGATTAACAGCTGTCTTGCATTAGCTGTTTCACTTTCAAACTCATCAGCTTCACTGTGTTGGCGGCCAGATGCACTGGGAATGTTTCCAGAACACTTCTGTTGTGGTTGGTTGTTGAAAGGTTTTCTAGGTTTTTACATCAGTCAGATCTCTCCTTCCCAGTTATATACGTGAAGGCACAAATAACTCTCCGTTTCCCGTGTTTCCTTTTTTAAAAAACTTCTGTGGTCCCTGCTTTCAGGATCCTGAAATGTGCCTACTTCTCTGTCTTTAAAGTCCCATATGAAGCAATTTATTGTTGCAGTTTCCACACACATGGGCTTGCCTTTTGTGAAAGTATTTTAAAAAGAAAAAAGTTAAAAAGAATGGACGGGGAATAAAGCATTATGCCAGTTTAGTGTGGTTAGGAATATTCATGTTAAGTATTGTCACAAGTTGACATATTTTAATCCTAGTGAGAATGGATCATCATTCTCTGTCTGGCCTTTGGTAAAAGCTTTGCAGGGCTATGTGTTGCTTGGGCACCCCAGCAGTTACTGCTTACCAGAAGTGAATCTTTAGATAGGTGAGTTAAATATTAAGAATTAGGTTCTCTTGTTGCATCTCTTTTGGGATAATGCACTGTGTCTGTCTGTGTGCATTTTGGTAACTGGTCTCTTTCATTACTGCCCTCTTGAGAACTTAGAGTTCAAGGCACTGGTCAAACTCCTGTTGCTTGCCAAGTGAGTTGCAATAGAGTAGGCCCATTGAACCAACAGGGATTTATTTGGTGAGTTAACTCCTCCACTGATTCAAATAGGCCAACTGCAGCTTAGTATGCTGAAGTAAGCCGCCTAGAGTGGTCGTATAGACCAGATAGGTGGTGTACAAATCAAATAAATAAATAAATTCTAAGTTGCAACAAGAGCATGCCCACTTGAATCAATGGAGCCTGTGAGAAATTGACTCATCAAATCCCCACTGGTTCAATGGGCCTACTCTAGTGTGACTGATTTGGCAAGCAACAGGATTTCAACTGTGGTGTGGTTTTCACAGAGTAGCAAATTGATGCACAAAATAATCATTAGCATGTATATGGTACATTTGGCATTACCAGTGGTTTGCATGCATCAACGTTCCAGCCAGCTGCTGACTCTGGGGTTCTGGGAGAGGAGTCTTGCCTGCGAGGGAGTTTTGTGGTGCAGTGGTTAAACTGTTATACTGCAGCCAAAATTGTGTTCATGACCCAGGGTTCAATCCCATTGTGATCAGGTTCTTGAAAAATTGGTGATGGTTCACTCATTTTGGCAGGAATAAGAGAGGGAGACGATTTTGAAAGTACAACAGACTCAACTTTATTAACAGCAACTCCAGGATCAACTAAGTTAAACGGATCGAAACAGCTCAGTTCTGGAACAGTCTTATAGCTTAATATCTTTGCTCCCGGCGTAAATATGTCGCTCCTTACATTGGGGCTGGACCAAAGTGCTCGCGATCAGTTCTCACCCTCAAGGGGGTGTTCTGAGACCATTTTGAAAGTACAACAGGCTCAACTTTATTAACAGCAACTCCAGGATCAACTAAGTTAAACGGATCGAAACAGCTCAGTTCTGGAACAGTCTTATAGCTTAATATCTTTGCTCCCGGCGTAAATATGTCGCTCCTTACATTGGGGCTGGACCAAAGTGCTCGCGATCAGTTCTCACCCTCAAGGGGGTGTTCTTTACTGCCCACACTGTCCCACAACATGGGTGTCTCGCCCAGTCCCCTTCGAGAGGTGGATTGTTGTAAGAGGGGCTGAGATGGATCACTTTCCTCCCCCAGCCTTGGTTGCGTGGGTAAACCACAACCATCCATTCCAGTGGTCTCACCCCCTTCCCTTCCCTTCTAGGTAAGCCTGGATCAGGGAGTAATCCCCCTCCTGTCTTAAGGTTGGGGGAATCCTTCAGCAAGTCACAGACCTTGTTGGCTGTCTCATCTTTCCTTTCTGTTTATACCGCGCAATCTTTGGTGCTTTTCTCTGTCTTGACTTTTTCCACTCTGAATTCCTGCGTGTCACCCCACTCTTTTATAACCTCCTCCTACACTATCAGATCTCACTCCTCCCCTTTGTCCTCTTCCTTGTCTTCTGCCAAACACACTTCTACAGCCTTACTTTCCTTTACTCCTTCATCCTCTATTTCTGTGAGCACACCCTCTGCACATCCATACGCTCCTCCTGTCCACTCTGTGTTGAGGATGGCTTACTAGCTTCCTGTCCTTCACACCCAGATAGCCGGATCAAGGTTGACTCAGCCTTCTATCCTTCCAATGTCCGTAAAATGAGTACCCAACATGGGGGGGGGAAATATGTAGCCTGCATAATTACGGTAATTTGTAAACCGCCCAGGATGTGTTTTAAGCACTGTGGAGTGATATATAAGCAGCATGCTTTGCTTTTGCTTTACCTGGTGGATACCAGGCTGAGAAATGGGGGAAATATGTAGCCTGAATAATTACGGTAATTTGTAAACCACCCAGGATGTGCTTTAAGTACTATGGAGTGATATATAAGCAGCATGCTTTGCTTTTGCTTTACCTGGTGGATACCAGGCTGAGAAATGTCGGTACACATTATTGTTTGCTACCCTACCCACATTCCCTGATAGAGATGTGAGTTTTCTGTTGAATAGGAACATGTCCCAGAAAACCTGGGAAAGTTTAATACTTTTTTTGGGGAAAAAAGAGATGTTCTAATAGTCCAGAGTAATTGCACTGACATATTTGTTTGGTGACTGGAATCTCAGTAGGTGTGAGCCTATAGAGATCATTTTTCTCCTCCAACTTTATTCTCATGACAACCCTGTGAAGTGAGGCAGGCTGAGAGAGTGACTGGCCTATGATCACTCAGGGGCTTTTATGTCTTACTGGGACTACAGCCTTAAAGAATCAGTGCTCATGATTGTTACCTTTTTTGGACTGTAGCATCTAGAATCTGATTCTGCAGTATTCCCCCCCAAAAGAGTGACATTTGCAAGCTCTGAGAATAATATAAATAAAACACAAAACCCTGCCAACTGTTAAAATAAAATAAAATGTTTAATTTAGAACAGTACTTCAGGACACAAGTAGAGACCCCAAATGGCAGCCATGTCCATTCTTAACAAGGCCCATCCTTTGTCAGTTTCCCAAAGGATGTCAGGACAAAAAGATTTTTACCTGCTGGTAGAAGAACAGTGTGAAGAGGGGACAGCCTATTTTCCCTTAGCAGGGAGTTCCACAGTCTGGGACTGGTCACTGAGATAACTCTGTGTTTTAAATAAATCCAAAGCTGTGCCTGATAATTATTTTTATTGAAATATGTGTAAATACTTTGAAATGTGACACCTCGATAGCATACATTTCTCCTGCATTGTTACAGTTTTAGGAAGCAAGCCTGAAAGTACTGGAAACAGTTAACATGCTAATTTTAGCACGTTCCGAGAGCTGTGTGGAAAGTTAATTAGGGCGTAGGCACTGTCCAATTAGATGTTGTTTATGTGTTGCTTTTCCACATGGATATGCTTAAAAGTGGCTTGTAACACCAACTGCGGTACATCTCTCAGCACATCTTTACAGTAAACTGACTTTCCATCCTTTTCAAAGCACCAATCCAACAGCCTTCTGAAATCTAGTTCTGCAATTATTTGTTTTAATTAGGTTTCGAATTTGCAACAAGACGGTCAGTATCAGTTACTGAAACTCACACAATAACAGGTTGTACTAATCTTTTAAAATAAAAAAAACATAAATTATAGTCGGATATGACACGACGATCAGGAGCAATTGGGTATCAGTAAACTGTACTCAATAACTGGTTTTTCAGAAAGTTGGAGTTTGGGAAATCATGGCCAGACTTTTAATATAAAAATAAAAGTCACAGGTGCTTTTTAGAACCTCTTTATTTAGGGATAGGTCATGCTAGTTGGGCATACTGGGAGTTGTAGTCCTCTTAATGCATCTGGAGGGCTTCAGGCTGGGAAAAACTGAGCTACAAGGTACAGGATCTGTCTTTTGCCCTCCCAGCTACCGGTTTGCCTCTGTTCCTGTCATTTGTAAAGGCTCCAGTAACAACAAAAGTGGAGTGAGTGGGTGAGTTTATTCACTCATTTATTTCTTCTTGTTGCTGATATTAGATGAAGCTTGAAAAAGTTAGTTTTCTGGACTACAGGTCCTGAGTTATCCCAGCCAGCGTGGCTGGCATCTCTGATGTTTCCAAACTCCATTGTTCTCTTTCCATTTACTCTGCATTCATCTGTATTCTATCCATTCATTATGTGGCTAGTTCAACATATGAAACAGTTTGCTGCTAGAAAAGTAAGGTTGTTGGCAAGCAATTCTTTGGAAAGTCTTTCCTCCATCAGGATTGATAATGAATGACAACTCCCTCCGCTCCATCCCTGCTGATGGTGATAAGTGGCCAAGAGTTGGGTTTCCAGATCTTTGATGATAAACAAGAATGTTTTCATAGCCTTCCCTGCTGTAACTAAGGGCACGTCTCTGTGGATTTTCCCTTCAGGTGTGCCAGCTGACGAACGCATCTGGTCTCAACAAGCCTTGCCGTGGCTTGGCTGAGCCAATTTGCGAACTGCCTGGAATAACTTTCCTTGGGCTGCGCCCTTGCAGATGGGTTAGACTCCTGCTCCCAACAGCCCAACCAATTGAGGGGGGGGGAGGTTGCAGTTGAATACATCTGCAGGGTGAAAGGTTTAGGGATAGCCCTGCTGGGAGAGTTGTGGA